GAGAGCTACTTTCTAGTCAAAGGAGACAGATACTAATAAAGAGGAGTAAGTTAGAATAAAGGATGTGTTAGATAAAATAAAGCAAAGAAGGGAGATATGAAATGTTGAAGGAATGTTGTTAAATTTTAGACAGACATCTATGGAAAGCCCAAGAATATGATTTTTGATAAGGATCTCAAAGAAATCAGAGAACTTTATACTTAATTAGTACTTTGCCTATATAGAGAAATTACTTTATGGAATTGGAGGAAAACATCATTGCTTTTAAATATGTGCATTTCAGATTGTCATTGTACTTGCATTTATATTCCTTAAAACATTTATAAAAAGAGTAACAGGTTTTAAGTATAGATCTCTTAGCTGATAATCTGGTTTATTTTACCTGGCTTATGGTGGGGAAGACACTATTACTCCATTTTGAAAATGAGGCAACTGACATCCAGAGAATGAAATGACTTATCCATTATTTACCAGCCATGGGGACCCAAGCTACTTTTGGTTTACTTACAAAATTATATGTAAATTACTTTCTACTTCTCAAGAATCATGACAATAAGCTTCTCAACTGTCTGTCCTTTTAGGACAGAGAGGCAAAGTAGTTAGTGAGAGGTGTATACTGATACTAACGCGGAATTTTGTATGCTCTCATAGAAGTGAACACAAATCCCAGGTTTTCGAGTAAAATGCAAGAAGTTCAGTTTAAGCATATTGAAAGTTTAGTACCTATAAAAAGGGACTTGAACATCCCAAAATATTATGACTTTAATGTATCTAGTTACATATATGTTGTATTATTTTACCAAAAAATAGTAAAGTTAGTGAATATTAGAAATTATTGTATTTATTTATCAGAAGCATAGCTGTTTAAATCATGTGTCCCTTATCTCAGGCTAACATCCAATTCAAATGGCATAAATAATTTTGGATATAGAATCCCTTACAAGTCAACTGTAAAACTCAAACCTATAAGATGATTATAAACTTTGAACTAACTGGGTATATAAATATGACTTAGATAAATTTTTGATATACCTGAGCCATAGTTCTGTATTCTGTAAAATGGGAATATTAAATGAATATTAAATGAATATTAAACATGCTATATAAAGTGGATACCATAGTAACCAGTATGGAGGAAATAATTAAGATCAGTTGAATAAATGCAAATACTGAATAAATGAATGAGGAAGCAATTCATCCTTATCTCCATTTATGTTTATACCCTCTAAATTGGGACTCCTATTACTATAATTTTAGCCCTCAATAGTTCACTGTTTGATGTATCAGTTTTATCTCTTAAAAAAGCTTTATCAGAGTCAAAGACTCTTTTATTTCACTTATATGATTTTTCATTCTGCACTACATCTTCATTGTCAATTGCCACATTTTA